CTCGCTGAATTCGCCATGGCATTTATTACCACACTACCCAATTTCGTATACAACATCTACGTACAAGCTACACAGTCAGTGGTAAAATCTCAGTTAAGATTGGCACAAGAAACACTTTGGTCAGTTGTGAGCACTGTTATTAGTTTTACAATGCACGTGGGAACATTCTACGTGTACTTGATCGTGTCTCATCCATATAGACGGAATGTACGGACAGCTTTATGCTGCAAAAAACAAAATCGTGTATCACAACAAACACACATACAACATGGCACAACAGGTCAAACTTTCGGTACCATGATTACTCAGTCATGATCATACAGTACTATTTTCTCTTGTATACGCATAACTTACATTCATTTATTTGTTGTGCGTTCATTCTGATTGCTGAGATTGACATTGGAAATTGACACTAACAATGAAAACCATGTCCTTGAACAGTATTATTTTTTTCTACAGTGTTGTGCAACAAACTTTTTCCGTCTGGAATAAAATCGGGAAACATTCAATACTGCGCAAGTCTTCTGAATGACTGGTCTTGGTGGAAAACGTCGAATAGAAAGATGTCACAGTATACGTATTTTTATCTTTTGAACTATGACTGATTCTCATCAGACTAATTCATCTTCCCCAACTTCCTGCATTTATAGTCATTTATTGAAAAAGTAAACTGAATAGTTCACGATGGCTATAAAGATGAACGCCTCAACTCTCAGCCCTCACCCTCCTTTTCAACGTTTTCCCTGCGATATTTCCTTCTTCTCATAATTCACTTTCGAAATTTTCCTTCTCAGCATTTTTCTCTTCGACATTAGAGCACTAGCAAATAAGGAGATATCTCTTTTCGCACATGCGCATATCTTTCTGTTCTCTTTCGTTTCAATCGACGCGCTGAGACAAAAAAATGTTGGCACACGAGATATCGTATCTGAAAAGAGATATCTCCTTATTTGCTAGTGCTCTATTGTTCTCTTTTTTCTTCGACGTTTACCGCCAGCCGCGCTGGAGTTATAAAGATGTGTATTCAAGAATGTGTGAAAAAAAAACATTTTTCGGTTATCATCGATTTCGGTTAGCCAAGCACGAAACGAGCACCTTCTGTTTTTCTTCAAAAATTTTCTAGAATAGATTTTAAATATGCATTGTTTCACGCTGATAACGAATATTCACTTCGAAACGAACGAAAATTTAGTTTTGAATTTAAGAAGTTGAATTTAGATTTTTCAACTTTTTTAAGTTACTGATCAATTTTTATTAGTGCCTGATGAGCAGTGTTCTTCTTCTCCCGACCGTTGTCAATCGATTTTCGTCCCACTTTTTCTCAGTTATTACCGATCGTAGAATTCGGGATAAACATTGCTCGATTCTTCAAGTGTTGCTGGCGAACTTCAAAAAAGACAACAGAAATTTGTTTAGTTTGTAGACTATATTGCAATTAACGAAGAGACGCAACAGAACATTTATTGCTTCCTTCATACCTTCAGCCAGACTATCCATTATTTTTTGTTATGATACTAAAAGAAGTTGAAGAAAAAGTCATCACTGAGATGATGTTCTAAACAACTCAAGCACGAAAAAAGCAGCTGGCATCGCTCGACGCATCGAGATTCACTAGATACAATGATGGATGCAGCTAGTTGCTTAAGAAAAAGAGGAAAGTTGAATAGAGCATCGCTCGATGCAGCTAGCTATGGACGATGAATTGCTAGATGCATCGATCAAAAGACGATCCCAATTTCCTAAGGATAAAAAACAACTGTGCATCTAATGGAAGTCGATGCAGCTAGCTCCATGCATCTAGTTGGATCTACTAGTGCGTCTATCATTGCATCTAGTGAATCTCGATGCATCGAGCGATGTCAGTTGCTTTTTTCGTGCTTGGAAAGGATTTAAGTGGATTTGGTAGAAGATATTAATAAAATTGGTTAACTCTCCACTGAGCCAGAGAGATCGGCTAACACGACGGAAACAGGAATAGACAGAGCGACTCCTTCCAAAAAAAAACGTTACGTTATCCCAGGTACAATTCTTTTTCCTCAAACAAAAAGTCATCAAAAAGTATTGCGCTTCGCACTAATATGTTTTTCTATCCCCTTGCTTGAACTTTCGAGGGCCTGTCAGTTCTGCAGAATTTTTTGTTTATTTTTACCCATTCTTTGCAAGAATAGTAAAGTTCATGAAAATGTAGAATTTCACCGTTAAAAATGTCATTTTTTTTAGCAGCTGTAGTTCTACGTTTTGCTCTAAATGTCCCACTTTCAAAATTTTTGACCGGGGAACTCTGAGTAGATGCTAGCTACAGGTACGGTCTAGTTTTGGCAAGTGGGTTATAAAGCTTTGAGAAACGCGCCATTTTTACCGTCGGCTTTAACTTGAGTCAGTAGTTGGACAAAAAAAGCGATTCTCCTAGAGATCTTTGAAAGACCTAAGAAGGCTCCGTCCAGTATCCTCTTTCGGATGGCGAAGAGCTCAGGTCTCTGTCACATACGTCCATAAGCATTTTACACAACACAGACTTACTTCTCTTCTAGTTCTGCTAAAGCGATAGACACAATAGAGGACCCTCCTACGATAAAAGACCCCCTGTTACAAGACTCCTTTTGAACTCATAACGTAAAAACCACGTTAGAAAACTCCCTACTTTTATCGACTTTTTGACCTAAAATATGTTGATTTTGGGATTCAATCAAACGCTAATCTTTGCATTCGCCTTTCTCCTCAGCTGTTCTGACGTCGACTTCACCCGATCGGATCCTTTTAATTCCAGTGATTTTCGGAGATCGGACGCCCGACCAGATCCGGAGATCGGATCCAATATCCGGAGCCAGGCGGATCCGTTAATTTCCGGTGACCGAAAATCGACGGATCCTGTGATGTGCACTTTATTTTTTTTTCTTTCCCCAGGTCGAAGCTTCCGATCATCGGATCTTGTCAGATTCAATCGGATTCGATCGGAATCTGGCTTCCGAATGCGGCCGAAACTGGTAGGATCCGACAACCGGAATCCGGGCGCCAGGATTTTGTCGGATTGCAACGGACCTAGCCGAATTCGACCTGGGTGTGTGCATAATATATTCACCGTTTTGTTTCACGACAGGAGCAAATACGACAATACAGAAAATGAAAAATGAGAAGTTGTTCTTCTCAAATTCTTGACAGTGTGAGTCATCGCTCACACTCTCACACTGCTCAACGGACGTGTTGTACACGTCGTAGCTAGTGGATTTCTCCACTCTCTCAAATGAACAGAGAGAAGAACCACTAGAAAATGAAAGAAAAAATTTAAGACTATTTTTAACCTCAAAATTGATCACATTCTGCCAAACTCAGCGAAATTCGATTCATCGGTCAGAAGGTCCCGGAAGATGTCGGATCCGATCGGATCTTTTCCGACATCTTCGGGCAAGGATTCGAGCAACGGATTTCCGGCATAATCCGTTGCAGCATAAATGTTTGTCTTGCTTCTTTATGTCTGAATTGTAAATCTCGAATTTGCAGTTCGCTGTTGATGTTGTACTGTTCAGCGCTAATCCTCTCTTCATATTGTTCTAATATCGGTTTAACGACGTCGTAATCCTTGATCACTCTCAAAGATCGAATGTAGAACACTAGTATTGCCTGAATGCTATCGGTCAACGATGATAAATAATGATACAACGGTATGATGAGACTGCTTGTTCCCATAGTCATCAGATAAATTTTGAGTGTTAGAAACGTGCACATCTTACCCAGAATATTTTCTCCGAACGATACTGATCGTACAGGTAATCTAATACAAACCACTATTGTTCCATATCAATTTTTAACCGATTTGTGATGTCGATAATTTTCTTCTTCTCATGATGAATCACATACTCAAACATATTCTCGTTCGCTCGTACATATTTTGAGCTCAATTTATTGTACGTATCGTTCATTTTTAGCTTAACTGCTAACAAGCCATTGCTTCTCTTGTACAAATACAATCGGTAAAAAGTCGCGTAAGCAATACCTATGAGTATGGTTGCCAAAGGACATATGCAGAAAATTGAGCTTATGGCCAAGACAAATTTACAAATTTTCGTGACATTGTTGATGCAATTTTCAATTACATACTGTATTGACGAGAATGCTTCTTCGATTTTCCTTCGAATCCCCACTTGATCCGACACTTTTATTTCCATCCAATTGTCGCTTAATATCCGTTGATTCAACGTGCTCGAAAATGTTTGATAAGATCGAGAACAACGACTTTCTGACGAGACTTTGTTTCAGCGTGCAGTACGAGGTAACATTCTCAAACATCAAAAGGAGTAAGCGGACCTTGAAACCACTAGTTCCATACATGGTGATCGTCGAGAAAAATAGAACGTTCATGTAAGTACTATCCATTTCAATGAACAGTGCACTTGGTTGTAAGTTGAATAACTCCAGAACGAAAGCTGCTGTAGACTTGCGATTTTCAGCATTCGAAAGAGAGTCATATTTTTTATATGGAAATGTTACATCTGATTGATCAAAATTGACCAAAATTTACCAATCAGAAGAATTCTCAATGAACATTTTAAAAACAATATTCCGAAGGCATTTACCATTGAATTTAGGGTTTCGACATGACCACCCAATAAAGAAAATTGTTCTGTTTTGATCTGCGTAAGACCGAGCCCGCTAGCGTGTTTCGTTCAGGAGTTATAAGCATTTTCCCGAGAGCCCCAAACGGTATTTTGAGCGATTTTCGGGGGTTTTCGACCCTTCATCGAAGTCAAATCGCCGAACAAAGTGTATATTCGGAATCAGCATATAAAACTGCGTCGAGTGACATGTCTTTAATCTTCATTTGATGACTTTCATTTTTTCATTTTTGTCACTAAACTATCATACAGCTCTGTGGATCATGACATGTACATTAAATATGAAGATATTATTGAACAATCCCACTTTTATATATCGAGATCATTAAGCGAGTGGTTAACAATTTTCTATCCAGAAGTGCAGAAGAACGTTTTCCATGATTATACCATATGATAGTTAATTATAATCCTGATCATGTATGTATACAGTTATTGACGTATGTCGTAGCAGTATGGATGTGAAACAACACAATTTTAAGAATCAAATCATGAATTATTGTCGAAATTAGTTTATGCGTAAGAGTTCATTTGATTTTCCATTAGTATTAATTCTAAATAAATCAAATGATCAAAATATAAATTAACAATTAATTCAACACTATCCATTCAAAAAAAAACCATTTCTTCAATAATTCACTACCACCAACAACGACACAACACAAAACAAATTGTTTATACCTATACATAAATTTATGAATCAATTCAGATGAAAAATTCAAAAATCAAATTTGATAATTTAAAAACTGAATTAGAATTTATTAATCGAATGAAATTCCGTTATCTACAAGATGACAAACAAATACGTTATTAATACGTGTTGATTATCACAAACAACAAAAAACATTAAAATATTTTGTAATGATCATCATAATCAAAATCAACATCATTCTATATGTTTAATATTTTGTCTTCAACGTAATATACATTATAAGAATAATAATAAAATTTTGTTTAATGGTTGGTTCATAGATATGATTGATGATTTAACAAAAGACACATAAGATTGTACCTCAACACTTACTTCAAAATCCATCCTATGCGCATTTAATAAATGAAATCAAATTTCCATTATCAAAGGCGTTAATTGATCGTTGTTTATCAAAATTTAAATATGTGAAGTATGCTATGAATAATGGATCAGAGCAAAATTTAATTGAAAGAAAAAATTAAATTATAAATTATATCAATGATAATATTTATTTTCAAAATATTATACAAATGAAACTTGAATATTTAATGAAAACTATTTCACATCCACATTTTCAAGATCTATTACATGGTACAATTATAATCGTTTACATGTCGTTCATTTAATGGTACATTTCAATTAGTTTTTAAACAATCTTATTCTGTCTATTTAATATTCTTATTTCGATATCTCGAACAATATTTATTTATTGATAGTTATCTTTTTATTAAATAACATCATTTAATACAAGAATTAGAATAAATATGGTTGAATTGTTTAACTAAATCAATGGAACAAATTGATCCAATAACAATAAAACATTGTAGATCATGCAGTAATAGAAAATGATTTATACTTACCTTGCTCATTGAAAGAATAAGAATTATTGAATAATATACGTCATTCGATTATGAACGACAACAACAATAATTTATTGACGTTAGGAATATCGATGATATTATATTACAAAAATAAAATTCAATTATCAATTAATTTTACTTTTAATTTATTATATACAAATCCAACTATAAAATCATATGATCACGTTAAAAATTTAATTACGAATCAAAATGAGCTAATACAAATATTTGATTGTAGTTTAAAACTATTGAATGAAGAAACACTCTTAGAACATTGTTTGAAACATTTTATGATAAATTCTGATATTATTACAGATAACATTCAATATTATATATTAATGCGGAACACAATTGATGATATATTGCCAATTTTAAATGATGATAACAATAATTTATAGAAATATTCACCAAAGATATTTCGATTTATTCCAAGAAAATTTAATCTTGTCAAAATAATTTATTTAGCGAATAGTAGTATAACAATTGATAATCAACTATCAAAATTAGATCAATATTTAAGTGATCTATACACACCAAAAATGAAAATTGAACATTTACTATCAATTCGTATTCACAGAGATTTAATATTAAATGTTAATGAAACGGATATAAAGGAAATTTTAATTGAAAAGCTAATTTTTTTAGAAACAAATATCATTGAAATACAAAATTATATAAATGATAACAGTGATAATAGAAAACAATGAAAAAGTCGTCTTAAATTTATTTGTTTAGTATCATGGATAAAATATTATTTACAATTGTATACTTTTATTCTATATAAAAATAGTTTAAAAAATGAAGTTATATAATTTTCAAGTAGACAAACTATTTTCTCATTTGATTTTCAATATAGTTAATAGAGAAATGAATTTTGGAAGTAGGTAAACCATTTGTTTTGGCCAGTGTTCTGCTAATGTTATGTGACTTAATAATTTTTTCACTTTGTTTTGACATATCGAATAAAAAATTCATAAAACTCTTTGTTATTGCATTTAGAAATAAGATTTGCATAGAATATTTCAGGCATATTGCCTAAATCATCGAAAACATTTTCAAAATTTTCAATGAATTTTAGTTTGAATTCTGGAATAATTGTATCCTTTACGCTAAATTTTGACCATCTTTCATCGACGTACTACTTTTAAACTCTAACCAAATATTATTTGTCATTTTCTCATTTCCACACTCAATTCCACGAATAGTTGACTAATCAAAAGCATACATCATTTTTCCACTCAGACGTGAAATGTAAGTAACTATATCTATCAATATTGCGCTCAATTTTCTTCGATGAAATATAATAATCACCCTCAACTCTATGAATACTTTTGACTATTCGTTTGAGAATGTCTCATTGCAGAAGCATTCTTATAAAAACTTCATTACCAACGTTTACATTTCTCTTTAAAAATAAATAAGATAAAAAATATGAAAAACTTTCTTGATTAAAATTACCATATATTCCGATATCTAATGCTATTCTGTGAAGAGAAACAAAATAATTAATATCACATGTTTTATCAGTTCGATTACAGGACAAGTTTTCAATAATAAACCATCGATTGCAGAGAAGACATCAATTTCCGAATCGAGTTTTCAAAAAAAAAAAGTGATCAACTTTTGAAAATAGAATTCTTCATAAAACTTGAGGAAAAAAAAGAATTTTCTAAACTTTTATAATTTATCGTAGCAGTCGATAATAATTCAGTTTCCTTTATTTAATTTATTGAATTATAATAATTCGAAACTGTTTGATTGGAAGATTTTTACTTTCTTTCTCCAACAATAATCGACAGCGTTTGTTAATGGGGTCTTTGAAACCAAGTAAAAATTGAAATGGTAATTAACAAACTCATTGTCGATATAAGAAAACAGATTTTTTTTATTTGCATCGATTTTAAAATCTGTTTGATAACTATTGAATAAAAAATAAATCAACCGAAGAACAATTGCATAAGTATTATGATGCTAAGTCGACATGTGACAACACTAACGATATTTGCCTCAGATCCACCATAATGTGATCAAGGTTTATCTAAATTCGGACATTTATTTTCAAAATATTTCATAATAATACTAAATTCACTATGTGTATATTAACAATTTCGAAAACAAGTTCAAAGAATCTTGATACAAATTTCATACCCATTCACTTCAGTAATAAATCTTAATCTAAAGTAGCAGTTTGAAACCTACGTTGCAAGCTTTCTCATAAGCTACCTTTTTGAATTTTGAAATTTTAGTTTTAAGTAGAGAAAGTAAACTAAACGACATCGAGCAGCAGCATTGTAATTAAAATAAGGAGTTATTTTGTCTGTTTAAAACGATTTATTTGAATTTCTCACTCATAACATCTATTTCAATTACATTTTTCGATAACTTAGCATTTATCTTAAAGTTTTTCAATATGATAAGGTTAAAGAGAAATAAATTCTGCCAAAATAGCCTATTGCGCGGCTTTCTACTATAAATAACTGATGAGTTCTGAACGAGTCTTTTTCAATTACTAACGTGTGAGGCGATAGTTCTGGATTAATTTTGTTTTTGATATAGCGTTGCGATGGAATATCGTAGAGACTTTATCCTTTTTTATTAGAAACAGCAAAGTGTCTAGTACAAAATATAAAAGTATTTGATCGGAAATTTTTTCCGAAGGCCACAAAAATCTTAGAACAAAAGGCATCAGGAAACTGGTGTTCATTACAACAAAGGCTTTTGTATGTATGATATTAAAAATGTTGGCCTAAAATATTGATCGTTATTCTCTTTTGTATTTAAATTTGAATATTAGACAATGATAAATATGTTATTAGTTAATTATCCAAACCAAACATGATCTAATATTGAAACTAATGCGTTGAAACTTCATTCGAAATAAGTTGTTCATCATTACGGTATTGTTTACTTCAGTCTTGACAATGTTTTTACTAGGAAACGATGAAAAGAACAGAACTGGAATATAAATTTTTAACGACTATTAATTGTTTTTCTGGTTAATATTGTCACAGTCGTATAAAATATGACAATGGGTGATATTCATCTAAAGGGTGTCTCACAAGTTCTGAAACGATTTCTAGAACGATCAATTTACAAATCGTTTCAGAAAAAAATTCCTTACTATACCAAACGATAGACAATTTAATTCTCTACAAGATTGTATATTCATTTTTATGATTCATCTTTGAAGTTTGGCACAGTAAGTCTAACAGGAAAAGCTCCACATTTTTTAACTGCACCACGCTGTTTTAAAGTGTAAACTGCGCCCTTTTTTTAATTGTTTATAACGAGTATTAAAAAATATGAAATAATTTTATTAACGTCAAATGGTGAAGAATTTCATGCTTTACAAAAGAGTTTACTTGAAATTAATTTATTTTAATTTCTAGTGGCTCTAATACATAAACTTCCAAGTCCACCGAAGTTTCTAACACTAAAAAAAGTTTTGACTATTCCAGTATAACACTGAAAATTCAAATCATTAGTTTATAGACCAGAAACATGCAGAACTTCACACTCTATCAGACTGTGTAACTTACAAATAAATCTGCTACTTCTTTTAACTGAAAAACTAGGAAATACTTGTTGTCGCTCAGATAGCCGAAAAATAGGAGAAGATGATCTTTCTTAAAGATTCTTTTTCGCTCTGATTTCATCTAAAAAAATCATTGTTTCTCATTAAAAAACAACAACATCATATTGTAGAAACTTTCTTGCTGAACTTTTCGGTATACCTTGTTTTGTTTAATAAGTGATTTTTAGCGAGATTTTGCACAAAAAAATCGATTTTTTGAAGTTGCAGTTTAGAAGTTTTGAGCTTTTCGTGTTAGACTTACTGTGCCAAACATCAAAGATGAATCTTAAAAATGAATATACAATCTTGTAGAGAATTAAATTCTCTATCGTTTGATATAGTAAGGAATTTTCTTTCTGAAACGGTTTGTAAATTGATCGTACTAGAAATCGTTTCAGTACTTGTGGGACACCCTTTATGCCATTAAATGGAATAAACAATTGATTCTGTTACTCGTCTTAGATTCTATAATCTCTTGACAATCTTTTATGTCTTTCATTAAATAGAAGACAAGTATTATTTTTAAGGCTATCGTAGTAAACTCAAGCTATTAGACTAAGCATCACAATTTGAGCGTTTTAATGATGTATGTTTAAAACAGATATTCACGTTATATTTCTACTACAAATGACGATCGTTAACAATATATTATCTTTTGACACTCAATCATTGTATATGACTCAAAACATACGTTTTCTCAAAACGCTAATTAAAATTTAATGAATACCATCAACAGTAAATTATAACAATAATAATAATAATAATAATCCAAAGACATGAGTTACTGGAATATGTTCAACAGTAATATTAGTCGATGATACATTTGCTTAAATATATAAATCAAAAAAGTAAGTCTAGTGGCAAAATAGGAATTATGTCCGATTTAAAATAAATAGTTGCAAATATTTTTATTTTTCTCCTTTTCACTAATATCTAAAGTATGTACTTATATCTGATTTATTGCACACGTACATGCATATCTACAACTAAATAAACAAAAAAAGAATAAATAGTTTGTCGCACTCCAAGGTTTTATGTTCTGTTGATTAAAAAAAAAAAAACAGGACGTTTTCTGCAAAGAATGAAAAGAAAACAGAACTGAAAAAAGTTTTCGGCTTAGCTTTTAATGATACTCTTAAATATACTAAATTTTCCACTGCAATATTTCATAAGGTATAAATTCCACGTTAACGTGTTTCTTTGTTTTTTAGTGAAAAAAAATAAATAAAGTGAAGTTCATTTTTGAAAATAAAATAGTGTCAATTATTTAAGACGTGTCCAAACGTCATTTTAAAAAATTTAAGAATGAGAAAAATAAAGACTAAATTTACACTTCATATTTTCCAAACGTGGTGGTTATATGTGATTATTGTTTTAAATAAGTTGGAACAAATTTTTATCTAAAACAAATTTAAATGTGTCGATTATTTTTTAACAGAACTTTCGTTTAAACATATTTAAATTTGTAATTATTTAAAAATAAACGCATTAACGATTTGAAATGTGTCTAAACTTGTTGTCACGGTTCTTAATACTATTTAAAAATAATCTATGACACATAGTCGTATCTACAGTCTACTCAGCACGCTAGTTTTTTCAAACAATGAGCAATCGTCATTTTTTTTTTTATAATTTAACGATGAATAAAGTATATAATTCACCTGCTAGTTACTCGATTGTTATTCTGACCCGCAGAGGTTCTAATTGTTTCGAAGAAAAAAAATATATATATGAAAAAATCATGTCATACACCATTTCCATTATGTCACATGGAACATTTTTTTCTTTCTACTTGTTTCTTCCTCTAACTGTATAAAATCATGTTTTATTACTTTTTCGTTTTTTTGTACTTATTCATTTAGTTATAAAATTCGACTACCTACCATGTACTTGTTATCATCTATTGATTCCATATATACGTAATAGTCTTTCTAGTTACTCATGAACTCGTATATGATCCGATGAAAAGATAATATGATGAATTCAAACCGAGAACTATGCCACTTTTTCCTATGTTATCAAAACAAATTTGAATGAAAATAAATCAAAACAATAGTAAAGAAAAAAATATTATGTGACAGATAGTGTAGAATACAAGAGGTAAAATAAACAAAACAAAAAGCAGAAAAAAAATAACTTTGTTCCTGTTTGTATGTCATTTCACTGCTCTATTCATTGGATTAAGTGATATTAAAAAATAATTTATAATAATTTAATTTAATTAAATAATAGAATCAAGATTTGTAATTTATTATTAATCCGTTTATTAGTGAACATAGAAATCATTTTCTTGTGAACAAAAATAATGAACTATGTAAAATTATGGATACTCATTTATACTCAATTACTAAAGGTGAGTAAGGAAAATACACGATGTTTTCTATACAATATTGACATTTTGTATAAACATTTATGTATTCGATACACTGATGGGTTTAAAACTGTGTTTTGAAAGTTAAAAGTTGAAAATATTTCTAAAAAAGTTGATACAGTTAAAACCCTAGTTATAACTATCAATTCGGGTTAATCGATATAACTGCGGTTGAACGAGTTACAACTCCAAATGGGTAGAGTAATAACCATTTCAACTCCAGTTATAACTGCATCAGTTTTAGTAATGACTACCAGCCCAAAATAAAATAATGAAAGCTCATTTCAGTTTGTATTATAGCACAGTTATAACTAAAGTCGAAATAGTTATAACTCTCTCAACTGCAGTTATATCAATCAACGCGAGTTGATAGTTATAACTGTGGTTCATAGTTATAACTATTGTAAATTTCTGACTAAAAGTTAAATTAGTTATAACTAATTTCAATTCCAGCTAGTTATAACTCAGCTAGTTTTAAACTCATCCGTGATTTGATAGCAGTATTTCTTAGAATATGATTTATCTAGGCTTTATCGTCTGATGCTATCGAATTATCAACTACCGAATTACCAACGACTGCATGTGAGTCAAAAAAATAAACTTTTCATCACCGTCAGTAAAAGAACCAAAACAAATGATCCGGGAAATCTCCCGCTGTAGGTTCTGTGATCTTTTGATAGTTAGTGGACAACACATACGAGATATGCGTAATCTAAGACCTACGCAATCTACATGACCTGGTCAATGTCCAATATTTATTTGTATATGAAACATTCTATATGCTAAATACAAAATTTTCTCAGATTATACCACAAAATGAAACAAAAATAAAGAACATTTCTAGATACTTTGCAACTATTTTAGATTTAGATCAAACCTGCAGTATCGAATCGAATTACGGTATTACAATAACAAATCAAACATCGGATGGATTTGTTGGTCAAATTGTATTTAACTGTTCTATAAATATTACTAATATTAAAACTGTTAATAACTGTAACTTAACAAATCCCAATAATTTCACAATTACAATTTCGTGTCAGAATATCATACACAACGCCGGCAAAAACTGGACTTTTAACATAACACAAAAAATTGACGATCAAAGAGTAATATATGAAACTTTCAGTGTAACACTACGTAAGTATTAACACAATATAGTCGTTCGAAAAGTAGAAGAAACCGAAAACATTTTTATTTAGTGCTAATAGGTACATTTTTATAAAAAAATTTTTCGTTATTAGCAGATGCAATAAAAGAGAATACATTTTTTGTCATTGTACATTGAGAAGATAGCTGAGCGCATAAATTTCTCTATGAGTTTTACGTCCAATTTTTCGAAACGTCCGTATCCTACATAGATAATGGCATGCTGATGCTGATAAAACTTTTAAAATTCGATTGAAGAAATTTTGCTACAAAAAATGATAGAAATTGCGCTGATAGAGTTATTATGCTATGATACTGTACAACCAAGTCTCCTAAGAATTTCTTTTATTTTCTTTGTAAGATAAAATCTTCCGAATCTTATGTAGGATATACTGCGCATATTTTGAGGAAAATATCAGATTCCGTTTCTGGTTTGAATTTATACTACAAGAATCATGAAGTTTTGCCCTTCGTTATCACTAATCCAATATTTTGTTTATTTGTAGAAGTGGCTACTGTTATTAATATAGATTTGATTAGTTATAATGATGAACTACAGACAGCGAGTGTGAATGTTACAAGACCGGATGGAGACTTTGACAATGTACTGTTGAAATGTCGTCCGACAGATCAGATATGTCCCAAATTGTTTTCGAATACAAGCACACAAATATACACTGAAACAAATTGTTCAACTACAACGCAATATTGTAGTGTTTCATTTGATAATATTGTAGCTGGTAATAACTATTCATGTAATGCAACAACAATAAAAGAAAATTTTGATAATCAAACGTCCGATGGTCTTCAACTGAAATTACGTAAGTATTTGGAAATATTCTTATATTAAGCTTTGAATTAATTTCATTATATATTTGCGAGCTAATCATTTCGCCAGTATCACTTCTAAAACAAATAGTGTTTATTCACCATAATGTTTTACTTGATCTCTCGACTGGCGGTTACAAATATGATAATTAGAAGAAGCTTGAAAGCTACTGCTGCTTCTTGATAACACATATAGAAATCTTATCTATTGAGAAATAGATCACCGATCTCAAGATACAAACTTCATAACCACATGAACGCGCATATTGACAGGGCTGGCCGAGTTTTCTTCTCGAAGAAATGCTTCGATTTTAATCGGGGATAGTCTAACTTAAAATCAACATAAGCATCTTGACTTTAACTTAGATTAGCTCAGATTAAAATCGGTCTGGATTCTGAGCTGTGCTGTAACATCTATTCTGCTCCTGTGTTATGATTCTTTGTACGAACGAGAGCAAGAAGTTATAACTGTCAACTATCACATGACCGACTGAGACAAATTTCCATTCAATGATTAGATAAACGTTTGAGATTAGCTAAAGTAGACGTTCTTCTAAACTTCTATAATTCTGAAATTCTATAGTTTTTAGAATTCTAAATTCTAGTGACTCGTAGAATTTTTCATGAAGCAAGAATTTCTACATATTAGAAATTTAACCAGTTATGCATACCGATTACAGAATTCTACATCTTCCAGGATTCTATAAACCATATTCGATGCTACCTTTTTTTAATAAAGTGGATGAACTCATGACAAATTAAGGCTTCTATAGGGAGCGATTACCAGACAATGTATTATAATCTGACGTATTAACTACAGCAATTGCTGCAGATCTACTGTCAGGTTTGACTTTAAAACTGTTATATCCTCAAATATCAAGAACGATTTGAAGAGTATTCACTTTTGGAGTGTATTCGTTTAAATGATGAAAAATAAATTAATGAATTTAGTTGCATATTAAAATGAATTCTGCATCCATAGTGTCGTTGCGCCCTAATGTCGGTATACCATATAGGAGATATGAACAACGCACTTTTCTTTGTTTTCAAGTTTTCTATCAGCTTGAAGAATCCGGTATTTTGTTATCGTGTATGCCATCTAATTATAAGACATATTTGTTTAGACTATAATGACTCTTTACAAGCCCTTTTATACATTCGTCGGCGAAAACTCTCTCTTGCAATTCTATGTCTTCTTTTAGAACTTATAACCGTTGACCACAATATGTCAAATTCTTCTAAGGAGGGTAATATGTTAGTAAATATTACACCACACAGCGATTTTGAACGAATTAATGCAATATGTATTGCTGAAAATACAGAAGATATATGCTCAAATATAACATCAAGCACAGAAAATTGTTCTACACAGATCATGTTAAATGGTACACTTGGATGTCGTTATTCATGCCAATTTACTACATTTAAAAGGGGTTATATCATTAAAACAACACTGCCATTTAACGTGACTATATGTAAGTAAATGATGCAATGATCATGAATTTGAAAGAAATTGGCTTCAATTGAATTTTCTATCAAGCTGATTTGAATCAATGTTCATCTATATATACGAATAGATGATATACTGAACTTTCTTTTTTTAGTACCAGCACATTAATTCTATTTAAGAAATGCAAAATCAAGTGCATTTTTAAATTTTAATTATCATTGATAACAGAGTGGTCAAAAAAACTCATAGTAAAAAATTAGCTTTAAAGCTATGTATGCTAGAATAATGATCAAAAGTTTAGTTAGAAAAAAAAGGACTGATTTCAAAAGAATAATTACTATTATTATGTAAAAGTAAGAATGATTCATTTTTTTCAGATCCACCAAAAGCCCTAATTAATCAATCGATATTTGGAAAAAACTTTGTATTTTTAAATTGGTCAATTTATGAACCGGCACATATTGATTATTTTTTACTTAATATTAATGATACCTTAAATCCGACATATGTAAATAAATTACAGCGTTCTTATAATTATACATATTTACAACCCAATACATAGTGAGTTGTTTTAATTTATTATTCATATAGATTAATATAAATCAAAACAGTAGACAATAAATTTATTATTTTTCTTTTTCTTTTAGCTATTATCTTGAATTGATCACTGTATCCAATCTCAATGAGACATCTGATAAAGTAGTTAACACAACTCTAGTAGATGGTAAATATACAACTGTGTGAACATATTTAATTTGTAATTTATCTTTACAATTTAATAGTATACGATTCTTTAGCACCTGAAGTATCATCTGAAGCAGAAAAAAAAATTTATCTAATTAACGCATTTACAACACAAACACAGCAAACTATTGTCATTGACAAAACATTATTTAATGAAACTAATGGTTTGATAATCATATACAAAATTTATGTTAGACAAGGTAGTATAAAATGATTTTTTTTTTTTTATTTAAAATTATTCAAAATTTTCTTCATTATTTACAGATCAAAGTAAAAATAATTCTGTTCCAGATTTTTATGGTACTTATGAACTTGCAAAAACGAATATATCCATTGACTATCTGGCCATTGAAATTGAAAATATGAGTAGACAAACTAGTAGGTATTGTGAACTTGTTTTATTCTGTTCTTCTATTCTGATATAATTATTATTTCTAAAAACAATCTCACTTTGTTTCTATCATTATTTTTTCTAAAAAATATATTTTTTTAGAAAAACAAAATCTTACGGTTTTAATTGGTAATGATACCTGTCAAAGTGGAAGAATATGTAATGGTCCATTGAGATCAAATACAGTTTACAAGTAAGCTCATTTTCTCATTTATCAAATGTTCTAGAATATAATATTATTGTTTGTTTTTTAAGAGTATTAATTGGTGGTTGTACTTCTTCAAATTTAGTTGATTGCACTTATGTTTTATCAACAGCATTCAAAACAATGTCACCTATAATTGGTAAAATTGGACATTTTATATTATGATTTTTTTTTGTCATCGGATGGATGAATGATGTTTTTCTAGTCGCTCCAGATTCAACTTCAATTGCGTGGGTAGTCATTTTTCCATTATTAGTTGTTATTTTTGTTATTGGTCTTATTATTTGGAAACGAAAATTAATTAAACAATGGATACGTTATAAAATATCCGAAAAAAAACTGTAAAAATATTTGTTCGTTTTTCTTGAAAATATTTTTGCCACTATTTTCATACATTTTCATTTTAGATCCTTAGACACTCTTGCCACTCCATTAGAATCAGTGTGAGAAAATTGAAAATTTGTTTTATATTTATTTTATACTTTTTTTCATTCATATTCTAGATCGGCACCATCTGTTCGATCATATGCTACAATAGAAATACAGTATTGTCATAAATATTCGAC